CTGAACCCATATGAATTCTTTTATTCTTATATATTTATACATTATTATTGTATTGTAAATATATTTATTTTAGTACAATTTAATATTTTGAAAAAATGTGTATACGTACATCTTCTTTGACAAATAAAATTTACGATGTCAAATGAAGAAAGCTACTAATTAGATAATTCAAGATGCAAAATGAAGTATTAAGATACGTGAATATATCTTTTCAACATTAACCCAATGGTGTATGATGAAGGGCATTTCCTTTATACATATATTGCATGTTATATAATCCATTCAAAGAGAAAATTATACTTTAACCAGTTAATAGGATGTACTATACTTGTGAACTGCAAAGAAACTGTGATTGAAAGTAACATGTGTCAATGCGCAATTTGTTTTTTTTTGGTATTCTAATTTGTGGCTAAATGGTACTCTTCAGATTAATGAAAAATTTCCATGTTTAACAAATTGAAAGAGAAGTGTTAGCCTCAATTTGCAATTGCATGTTAATTACACGTATATGTTGCTGCGCGCGTGTTGTGCGTTCAATACAAAGCAAGAAATACTATATATCTAACATTAAGATATTTTGTTGTTTACCACAATGTAAAGTTTACATAGTGTTACAATCATGAAAAATGTCTTACAAGATGTATAAGTGTATAGAAATAGACAAAACATAATAGTTGTTCATGTTATATAAAAATTATAGTAAAGCGTAATTCATAACAAAATTATTTCAACAAGAGAACTTATACTTTCAGTTAAACAGCAATAGAATTCCTTCAACTTAATTATAAAATGTCGTTTTAAGCCGATATAAAAATATTCGTTATTAAAATTTATTTAATAGTATCATACAAAAATTGAAGTGTTATCTTTTATTTTCCGTTGTTTGTACTATATACATATATACGAAATTATATTGCTTAATATGCCGTAAAACTAGATGTTTTTTTTTTTTCAAATATTTTATGTTCATACCTAGTGATTTAATATTTTTACTTACAGCGAAACCACAGCACACTGATCTGCCATCAATTAGGAGGCATTTTTCATAATATTGTTCATCATACATTGATTAATAAATACTTGTAGATTCATTACGACCGTAATCATTCTTATTGTGCTTAAATATATACTCAAAGAGGAATGATGTCACAAGTATTTAGTGTACAGCGATACCTTAAGTTAGTGACGTTTCGGTATGTATGTATGTAATCCATGAAATTACATACTTTAGAGAGAACGCGAATTAGCGTCTCTCTTTACTTCGCTTTTTCTTATAAACTAAAAAAACAAACCGGATAGCAATATATGCATTGAATATTAATATATCCTGTTAAATTTAACATCAAATTACTGCCAATATCTGCCAAAAATATATATATCACATGCAATATGAAAACAAAAAAAAAAGAAAGAGAACAACTAATCGAAAAATGCGATCCTGTTTACAGAAATTACCAGTGGAATTTTTATCAATTTTGGCACACGTACAACGAGGTGCCTGTTAAATGATGTGCCATGATGTAATGTCTGATCTATTTTTTCATGTGATACGTTTGTACGAAGTTTGGTATATTTTACGAATTATTTATAATCTGTATCATTATAAGAAATAGCATTCAATGTAGCCATCATTCCTCTTAATTTTTTGCCAGATTTAAACGAACAAAAAAGAATGAGCTATTTCTGCATAATCTTCCTCAGAGTGCAGAATGAGCAAATTGTGTAACGGTTAATTGCAAACTTGTGTTCTGATAATTTAATACTACCATAAAATAGTATATATTATATTTGAGTACATGCAGTCTTGGCATCTATTTTTAATGCCTCCTCATCTTTTTCTCTCTCGACAAAATACAGTCTCTAATACTTATAATATATACGATGTTGTAGAGTAATCTTGTATTAAATTTATAATGATTTTCTGTGTTCTACGAAGAAAAACAAGAAAAGGCAGTGTACTCTTATTCGTAATCGACGGTGCCCCGTGAAATATATATACGTATGCGTGTATATATAGTGTCATTATGTAATACCAAATGTACACAAAAATTCTGTACATTATATACCAATGATGTAACAAAATTAGCGCATATTAACATTTAGCTCGATTTAAATGGAGTATCAAATGGAAGCTAGCTCTATCCTGTCAATAATTTAGCTTGTAATGTCAGTGAACTCTGATATTGATTCAGATTCTTGCGCTTCATTGTATTATATGCTATTGACAGTCTATTGCTACAAAAACATTTGTGCATGTTTAGTGCTAAGTTCATTCATGTTTGGGACCAAAGTAAAAAGATTGACATTATTTTTACTGATTGTGAGTAACAAGTTATTTCTGAAAAGAAATAAATGATTTAAAACAATTATGTGATGCATTAAAATCTATAAAAAGACTTCTTCAACTTTATTCATAGGATTCTACTTTCCAGTATTAAAAGAGCTTTCAATAATAATATTGGAAAAAAATTTAATAAGAATGAATTACGATGATATAAAACTACTTATTTATTTGCTTCCATTTAAAGGAGAAACATTTTTTTAATGTAATTTAAAAATTGATGCCAATTGGATGCTATTAAATAACATTATGTGCGTTTAAGTACATCGAAAATGTACAGTACTCTTTAGATTTATACGTAACAGATGAAAGGGAAAAACGTTTTAGAGATTTCACTGCGTCTTGTCGATTTCACGAATTCAAGTACCACAATTCAAATTGAATTATGTAAGTTTCTGTAGTCTTGTGTATACAAATGCATGAAAATTTATAACATTCCTTTAGACATATAATATATCGAACGTTATTAGAACGTATATGTCTAAAAAAATGGAGATACGTATTTATTGCAAATAATTTATATGTAAGAACAAAGAGTATTGATATATTTACTATTTTACAATAATGTTGAAATAATTTAAATCTACCATCGGCACACACATACACACACGTACACAGTGGGAAATGCACAAGATCTCAGAAATAAACATGAACGTCCGTAGGATAAACCATAAATGCAGAAACATAGAAATAATAGCTATGAGATATTAAAGTGTGCCTAACATAGTAACGTTTATGTTATAAGTTAATAGAGATTAGAAAGCATTTCAATTATATTAATCTACCGATCATGCGCAATGTAGCTTCGAAACTAGCACTTGTCCAAAACGTCTGCTCCTTTTGATTATATAAAATCGTCTGTGTTTGTCAGAGATTTTAATTGAAAATTTTAGACTCTGTATGTATTAATTGTACCAGGCAACGCAAAAGACTGACGAAGATTATTGTAATCAGTATTAACTAACATTGGTATATTTTACATACAATATATACATATTATATATATTATATATACACATACACATACACACACATACACATACATATATACAAAACACATATATACAAATGACTTTGTACTAAATTCTATTTTGGCTGCTTGTGTTATTTTTATTATAAAGGTAAATTATTAGTATCGTTAAAGTGATACAAATGTAATTTCGTTATTGCAGTATCTAATTTACGGCATTTTAGGAGCCAACATGTCCTTAGCACATATTCATCTAGCTTTTATGTATACTAATAAAATTAATGACACTAAGTAGTGTTTTCAATCAAAATCCTCTTCCCACCTTTACAAATTTAATTTCAATTTAAATTTAAACTTCGTAGAATGTAATTGAAAAGAGTATCTTGAGGAAAGGTAACAATAATAACTACTGAAGAAATCAGCGTATAATAAATTGTATTTCATTCGTTATATCATTAAAAGATTGTTTACCAATATATAAGACTGACCTTCGTACATTTGCTTTTTTTCTTTGTTTGACATTCATACTTTTTATATACGCAAATAAAAGAGTGTTCATGGATCAACTGACTTCCCGGCGTATTGTAATTTTAGATCATCGAAACTGTGTAGATAAATGCCACGAGGCTTTTCCCTTGCTTTTCCCATGCTTTTTTTTACAAAAGAGACTTTATAATGCGCTTCTATTTTCAGATCGATTTTAAAAGAGCGTGCTTTCGTTTCGAGTTAATGTATAACGACATTTTTAGAAGTAACGAGAAATCCATATTTCTTTAATATTTTGATAATTTTCAAGTGCACGCGGGCATATATATGTATTATCTTATGCATAATGATCTATTTACAATCCCGAGGCAGGATCAAGACTTATTTTCCACTTTAATTCATAAAATTGTAAAACTGCATATTGGCTTACAAAATATAAAAAGCCAAAGTTCGCTGACTAAATTAAAAATTATTCAATTTTTGTTATAATAGGAACTTACGCGATTCGCATATTTTGCACATGCATTTCACGCAATATTTACATTCCTCGAATTTCGCGACGAAAAGGATGCAAAGAGTGTTTACATTTTACACAATAAACTGTACAATATCAATATTCGTCGAGCAAGCTTCTCTCCTTTGCTTCATCTTTTTTTTTTCATTGAACTATAATTACACTCACACTACCCGATATTTTTAAGCAACTATCTATATTTTAGAACAGATATGTACAAAGTGATTTTAATCACCTTGTTGATCTAATTCTCATATGATATATAAAAAACTATGAGAAATTATTTAGGAGACGTACATATACCTGACACATTGAAGACAGTGAAAATATCTTTAGAGTTCAAGTATGCAACAAAATTGATATGTAAGTATCCCTTCAGATACAAGATAAAATAATATAAAAAGTCTAAGAAACGCAATGGATTGCACCAACATTGGTTAGCGCCAATCATTAAAATTTTCTCTCTCTACTTACGTTAAAAATTAAGCTATAATATATAGGGTGATCCGAAATTCATGACAGGATATATTTTATGCTAAA